GCCGCAATTCGTAGGTTCTTTTTTATTGAGATAGGACTTGAAAAAATGTACTGATGTCAATATGTCAGCAAACATCCACTAAAAAAACGAAAAACAAAGCTGCTACGTCTTGACCAAAAATATTATTTATATTCTGTTTTAAGCATATAAAAATTAGTAATTTGGTAAATACATAAAGAATCTGCTGTTTTAGTTTGTATTTAGAAATGCTGCATATGTTTGTCGGAATAGTTAATAGTTTTCTAAATCAGCTATATTGTTTAGAACACTTTTATGTGTGATACCTACATGAACATGACTTTGCGAAAGAATATACATACATATTTCATTACTAGTCTATTTGTGATGTTTCACGTTGGCAAAGTCCATTATAGTTGTAGGTCAATCATTAAATCAGTGATTTTGTGACAAAAATACTAGCAGCAAACACTCCAATGTACCATTTATTAATTTTTTATAAACATTTTTTATACAAAAAACATGTTAACTTTGTTAATTTAAATGGAACACCCTGTATATTTGGATAGAACGTTTGTTAGGTCTATCTCTAACAATAAGCGAGATACCATTAAAAAAAGAAAAGAAGGTTTTTTATTAAGAAAATAAGATATCTTGTAATTGTTAGACTTCTTCGAAGCATTTTTGTCTTTTTTCCAATTACGTAAAGGTTTACAGATTTATATAGTTGTAACACAGACAATATAGCGTATCGCTACAGACTGCTACTTAAATGCTGGAAATTGGCAACCAGAAATAGAAGCAGGGTCTCCTTAGCCGGCTCCCAGCTATAAAATTTAGCGTGGTAACTCTTCTACTTGCTAATAGGCGGCAGTTCCAGTGGTGCTGCTAAATAAATTTAATGCTTTCAATTATGTAATTAAAGAGATATGGAACTTATCTTGTGTTTGGAAATCACATTTGCCTTAAATGTTAAATAAAATAAATCAAGTTAGAATTAAAACTATGAATTTACCTAATTAATTATTTATTTTATATCACCTTGGAATGGGAAAATTCAAAAACTCGTGTAATGTTTTTAGATTTGTGCGTCGACTTCCAATATGGTACGATATCAAAAACTATGTTTAAAAAAATTGCATTATATAGATTGTGTATCCTTAGATGGGTACTGCTTCTTATTGTTGATTTCTTTAGATAGGTAAATAATTATTTATTGACACAAGTGTAGCATATTATGGATGTCATTGGTAGTGCCCATATTTGTGACACAAGGTGTTCAAAAAAATTAACACAATGTAAAATTGCTGGAACATCAAGGAGTAGTTGAATACGAAATTTATTTAAAAAAAAAACAACAAATCATCAATCAATACAGAGATAAGATAATGCGTTCGCTACTGCTGTTGCAATTTTTAACTAACTTTTTTGTTTTTCGACATACTGACTTCGGACCGTTTCCATTCAACGCAGAACGGACAATAAGAACCAGAGTAGTGGGGAGATTTTTTAAATTATTTTTTCAATTCAACGCACCGTTTCCGAATTATAAGACCTTTTTTACTGTATCACCTCACACACCTCTTCTTTCCGAAATTTATTTTCCACATACGGACTTCAGACCTTTTCCATTCAACGCAGAACTGTCATACAGAACCTGGGGTGTGGGGAGATTTTTTCAATTATTTTTTCGATTTAATGCACCGTTTCCGAGTTATACGGCCTTTTTACTATAACACGACATACCTCTTGTTTCCAGAATTTATTTTCCGAATTATAAGACCTTTTTTACTGTATCACCTCACACACCTCTTCTTTCCGAAATTTATTTTCCACATACGGACTTCGGACCTTCTGCATTCAACGCAGGAGGAATATACAGAACCCGGGAGGGCGGGGTTGACATTTTTCAATTATTTTTTCGATTCAACGCACCGTTTCCAAGTTATAAACACTTTTTTATCCAATGACATCACACACCGTTGGTTTTGACGTTTTTCACTAGTTCACCATGGAAGATTTATTTGTTTACCATGGGAGATTTTTTGATACTTAAGTCTAAGCAAATACTGTTTTTTTTTCTTTCATATATTGTGACACCCCGCTCTGCGTCACCCACCGAGTGCTCTACTCAGAACCAAGGGGAAATTTGTTTATATTTCCAGCCATTTCCGAGTTACGAGCAAAAACCATTTTTTTTTCTTATACTGTGTGACATCATAGATCGATAACGAAGGCTTAACAAGGCCACGCGCTCTACCCCACGTTCCCTCCCTAGGTGTCCTGAAATTGCTGGGGAGACTCCTGAAGACAGCAGAGAGAGAGAGAGAGAGAGAGAAATAGAAGCCCTCTATGAGGACAGAGTCACTCTATCTCTATCGCACACTATAACTCTATCTCTCTCGCACACAATCAGACAAAAACGACAGAAACGAACCTTCTTTTAAAAATACATGGGATTTATCATTATTAGAATAACCCATTTTAATTTAAAAAATTAAAAAAATTACAATGGGTTATTCTGATGACGAAAAATAAAACATAATTAACTGTATTATTCAAATAACAATAATGTGCAAAAGTTCTTCAGGAATATTGGCAAATTTATTTTGGAGGAAGAATCCCGTCAACGAACACTAAAAAATATTATTAGAAACCTTAGGTGGCCAGAAAACAGCCCCGATCTCATTGTCAGTCCTTTAGACATATTTTTTTTACCTGAAAATTTGCAAGTATTGAAAAAAAAAACAGGACGAAATGCTTGATAATTTTGAATTTGTTTTTGAAGCAATTAATAGTAAATTGAAACATATTTTCAACTGTATCATCACAATCACTTGCATGTTGATTTGTAAAAATTGTAGGTATATTAATGTTATTTCGTTTTTAGTTATTCTCCTTATGTTGTTGTAAAGGTTAGTTATAAAAAGCGTTGTTTGTTATTTTCATAAGGATGAATTTTAATTTTTTTTAATGATTTTTTTTATTTTAAACATATATATTTTATGCCAGTAAATTTTGATGTCAAATGAAATAAAGGAAAAGTCGTACATTTGTATTTAAAGTTTCTTTCTATCTTTAATTATTAAACCTATAAGTGGATGTCAAAATACAAAAAAAAACCTGTACCTACATTCCGCGACGTACTAATAACCCACCTTGTATATTAAATAAATTTATCGTCATCATCAAATATTAAAAAAATTATATTACAAGCTGTTTAAAATATTATTACGAATTTTGTTTATTTGGAAATATATTTTCTGCAGTATTTCAATACCAAAAAATGAAAATAGTAGGTAGCTAATTAACGAAATTATGATTAAATAACTTAATTGTAACACCACTGCAGAATATCATATGATACATACATAGATATTCGTTGATTCTTTAAAAACATTTTTATCAATACCTACATCATACATTGAAGTAAATACAGTAACGCAAAAAACAGATATTGATAAAAAAGTGTACAAAAGAAATCCGTAAGTACGCCTGGCAACATTACCAAAGTCTTGTTTATATGTTGCTAGGATACGCTTAGGTATGCGGGCCGCTGTATTTGATTCTTCCTAAAATTCTGCTGGTGGTGTACTCTACCGGCAATTCGGAAATTTAAAACTGCTGGCCTATTCCAGGAGCGGTCTGTGGCGATAGCTATTTTGTCTGTGGTTGTAATGTATTTTGACATATCGGACAATGATATGATCTAAAATGCATATAGGTATTTTAACTATATCACATTAATTAAGCCGTGAGAGGTCTAATTACTCATGGACAATGTTATATAGTAGGCCGTGACAGATATAGGTAATGTCATGACAATATTTGTTATTGTTTGATGGTTTGTATTATTATTTAATTAAAATGGGTTACACAGGAGTAGAAAATTGAAATATTATAGGAATTAAAATAGAGTAAAGATCTTCTCCATACTCTACTTTAATTCCTAATAATATTTCAATTTTCTACTTCTGTGTAATCTATTTTAATTAAATAATAATTCAAACTGTCAATCAATAATATTGTTATCATGACATTACTTTTCATTGTCACGGCCTACCATATAACATTGTCCATGAGTAATTAGGCCTTTCACGGCTTAATTAATGAGATTTAGTAGAGAATACCTATACGCATTTTGGACCATATCAATGTCCGATATGTCAAAATATATTACAACTAAATCTGCAAATCCTTATGTAATTTGAAAAAGGCAGAAGTTCCTGAAAGAGGTCTAACAATTACAAGGTATCTTATTTTCTGAATACAAAACCTTCTTTTATTTTTTTAATAGTATTTCGATTATTGTTAGAGATGGACCCAACAAACCCTATATGACTATGCTCGACAGAGAACGTTCTATCCGAATATGTAAATCCATTCAAATTAACAAAGTTAACATCCCCGGCCATTTTGTTTGGACTTTTGTTTTCCAAATATCATTTTCGAAATATTCGTAAAAAATCGTGCAACTTTTTTATTTAACATTTTTTTATAACTCTAAAAATAAAAAAGTTAATGGGAGGGTTAAAATATAGTGAATCACTATGTACACTACTTCACTATAAACGAGTATTTTTGCCCTTGATTTAAGACAAGACTTTTAAATTATAGCCGAATTTTAGCTGTAGACAGGTATGTTATAACCGATGTTAACTGTTTATCTTTCAGTAACTTTTATATTATTGTGTGAAATTATTGATTTACAATTTTAATTTTGTTTCGTCTATTGACGGTAGTTTACAATGGAAGACGAGAAAGAAAAGTAAGATTTTTCATAGGAGTACTACTTCAGGATATTTTGACAGTCACTAGAATAGAATCAAAAGCATTTTACGAAGTTTTATAAAATATTTTACAACCTCAAAAATTGAGTATTAGTTGTTCTTTGACGGTATTTTTTAAAATTTAAAACCACACTCCACTTTAATATCAATAAAACGAGCACAATAATAATACAAGCAGAATTTCTTGCAGAAAATTTATAAAAAATATTATTTGTATGAAATTATATGGTCATAAATACATAACTTGCTTACATGGTTATTAAGAATGTCATTCAGTCTCTCTTCAGCTGTTTTGCCTTTCTTTCCCCTTAAAAGTAGGTAGACTTTTTCAATTCCGACACAAGATCGTAATAGTTTTTCAATAAGCACTTTTCCAATGAAACCCGACCCGCCAGTTATAAAAATGTATTTACCGTTGAAATAGTCACCGACAGCCATATCTAGGTGTGTGTAATAGAATAGAAAATAAAGTTATTGGACGACAGTATTTAGTGTGTCGTCCGAATTTATATAATTATATGCAAACAATCGTTGAGGATGGAAATTGGCAGCGATGGTTTTTAATACGATTATACCAGGTGGTCTAAACCTAAACAGCTCGTTTCCGATTTGAATGAAACAGGCAACAATTGGACTGATTTTATAAGAAAATTATTTTTCTATTACCTCCTGTTTAGTCCGAAGTGGTCACAATTTCAGAAATTTATGTACCTACTTCTATTTTATATATGGGGCTTTCCATGCCAAATCACTGAGATCGCGACCGGACCATTTTTTTCCTGATATTTTGGTATTATTTAATTTTCTGTATTAATCCATTAAATATTCCCGCCAGTGTTCCCAGCGCCACTTCGAAGGATTTCACTACTGTAGTTGTTAATTCTCTTAACACTACTTTATATACAAATGAGTTGTAACGATCTTGCTCGTTACATCTATTATCACATTGGCATACAGTAAGTAATGAAATTTGAATATTATTTTATAATATTTACTTATTACCACAGACAAAATAGCTATCGCCACAGACCGCTACTGGAATAGGCCGGCAGTTTTAAATTTCCGAATTGCCGGTAGAGTACACCACCAGCACAATTTTAGGAACAATCAAATGCAGCGGCCCGCATATTTACCCGTATCCTAGCAACATACAGTGTAGGAAAGTACCGATGGTCTAGAAGTTACGTGAGAGCGATAAAGTAAGCCATAGAAATCCATGTGATAGACAAGGATGGCTATAATGAAGGCGTCTAATAGTCAACGCCCATTTCGCCCTTCCACAAATAAGAAGTGGATCTCTTATTTGTGGAAGGGCGAAACGGGCGGTGACTATGAGAGGCCTTCATTATAGCCATCCTTCTCTATCGCATGGATTTCTATGGCTTACTTTATCGCTCTCACGTAACTTCAGATAGACCATCGGTACTTTCCTACCCTGTATAAACAAGACTTTGGTAATGTTGCCAGGCGTACTTACGGATTTCTTTTGTACACTTTTTTTTATTAATATCTGTTTTTTGCGTTACTGTATTTACTTAAATGTATGATGTAGGTATTGATAAAAATGTTTTTAAAGAATCAACGAATATCTATGTAGTTTCATATGATATTCTGCAGCGGTGTTACAATTAAGTTATTTAATCATAATTTCGTTAATTAGCTACCTACTATTTTCATTTTTTGGTATTGAAATACTGCAGAAAATATATTTCAAAATAAACAAAATTCGTAATGATATTTTAAACAGCTTGTAATATAATTTTTTTAATATTTGATGATGACGATAAATTTATTTAATATACAAGGTGAGTTATTAGTACGTCGCCGTTGCGGAATGTAGGTACAGGATTTCTTTTTGTATTTTGACATCCACTTATAGGTTTAATAATTAAAGATAGAAAAAAACTTAAAACTTAAAAAAAATAACATTAAAATACCTATAATTTTTACAAATTTTCAACATGCAGGTAATTGTAATGATACAGTTGAAAATATGCTTTAATTTACTATTTATTGCTTTAAAAACAAATTCAGAATTATCGAACATTTCGTCCTGTATTTTTCGTTCAATACTTGTAAATTTTCAGGTCTTTAATAATATATTTTATTGAAGTGTTCTCACAAAAATATGTCTAAAAGACTGAGATCGGGGCTGTTTTCTGGCCACCTAATGTTCTTAATAATATTTTTAGTGTTCGTTGACAAGATTCGTCCACCAAAATAAATTTGCCAATATTTCTGAAGAACTTTTGCACCTTATTGTTATTTGAATAATACATATGTTTTAATTTTTTAAATTATTTAAATTATTATTATGAGAAAAAAAAACGGTTTTTCCTCGCAACCGGAAATGGCTGGAAATATAAACAAATGTCCTCTTGGTTCTGAGTAGAGCACTCGGTGGGTGACGCAGAGCGGGATGTCAGAATATATGAAAGATACAAAATAGTATTTGCTTGTACCTCGGAGACTCTATCAAAAAATCTCCCATGGTTTTGATTGGTGATCGAGTGAAAAACGTCAAAACACGCATGTCAAAAAAAAGTATCGGGAGCAATGGTGTGTGACATAATAGGATAAAAAAGTGTTTGTAACTCGGAAACGGTGTGTTTAATCGAAAAAATAATTTTAAAAATCTCCCCCCCCCCCGGGTTCAGTATGTTCCTTCTGCGTTGAATGCAAAAGGTCCGAAGACCATAAGCAGAAAATAAATTTCTGAAACAAGAGGTACTTGAGATGATACAGTAAAATGGTCTTATAACACGGTGCGTTGAATCGAAATAATAATTTAAAAAATCTCCCCACCTCTGGTTTTGATTGTCCGTTCTGCGTTGAACGCAAAAGGTCCGCAGCCCCTATGTCGAAAATAAATTTGGAAACAAGAGGTGTGACGTCATAGAGTAAAAAGGCCGTATAACTCGAAAACGGTGTAAATCGAAAAAATTATTAAAAAATATCCTCACACCCGTGGTTCTGATTGTCCTTTCTGCGTTGAATGAAAAAGGTCCGACGTGCGTATGTGGAAAATAAATTTCGGAAAGAATAGGTGTGTGAGGTGATACAGTAAAAAAGGTCTTATAATTCTGAAACCGATGCCGGCTAACAAAAGCCTGCGTCCATTTCGGGTTGCCAATTTCCAGCATTTAAGAAGCAGCCTGTGGCGATAAGCTATATTGTCTGTGGTGATACTTTATCCGCTAGTGGAATAATGAAAAAATAATAAAAGTATAATAAATCAAATTTAATTTATTTACTTATTAACATTAACTTTTATAATAATAGACACTTCGATTTTTGTTATATCACATTTAACTTCCTTTCCGTTAATAACAACCCTTGTAGCATTGTTGCCATTATTTTCGGAACGCATAACATCTGCCGAAGTTTGTGAAGAATTTGCACAAGTTGCTGATGTCTCTTCTTGTAAGGAATAGACAGGAATTCTTGATGAGGTTTCGAGTATCCCTCACGACAGGCAGATAGATGGACTAGACACTAGGCGGATATGCTTTAGAGGCCAAAAATTGAATGTTTTTTAAGATTTGTTGTATTGCCAAATAATTTAAACTTCTTTTTGCACAGTGATCATATTGCATATCTCTTATTATTACTTTTTTTGAAATAAAATCCCAAACTAATGATTAGCAGCCAGGCTTCATTTTAAAAATAATAAGTCAATAATTATAAAATAACTAAAAACATTAATATTTAATAACGGAAAATGCTTCGTAAAACAAATCACATACCTCGTTCGTTGCGAAGCTTACCTTAATTACTAACTGCTAAACTAACCGTCGCGAGTACGAGAACAGAGTTGAGTTATGCGAAATAAGCATATCCCGATGATGCATTCGAATCCACACCGTGTCGCCAACATACACCGATTCTGCATTGTCACTGTTCTCGAGTCCTGTGTTCTCGGATACTACTCATTCGGTCTCGGTTCTCGGTGGGTCTATAGTAGGATCATATTCGATGCAAAGTAATAAATCATTGCCTGTCAAGGGAACCAATGAAGTACGCTTTTAAGGGTTTTACAAATTGAATAATTTCTTTACACATTATGAAGGGACGAGGGGATCAGATCAGGTCTGGCACCCTTGTTTCTACAAAAATTCCTTTATTCTCATAAACTATTTATTTTAAATGTAATTTATTATGAATCCAATTCGTTTCCTAAATTCCACATATGTACTACATTTTACCTCTGTACGCGCCACTGTTGTTTACTTGTTTTTTGGAAGCGCTCTCTAATTGACTGCAAAGCTCGCCAGGTTAGTATTTGACGTATAACCGACCAGTTCGTACACTCGATGCACCTGGGCGACTACAGCTACTACCAGTGTATGCAGCGGTATTTCAGATTTTACATTGAATTTCATTTTAAATTTGAAATGATTTATCTTACGCCTCCTAAAAATGATAACACGATTTTCCTTTGATAAAAGACCGACAACTTTTTGCTCTACTTTGCATCGAATACGATCCTACTATAATCTTCTATCCGGTACTAGGGTCTCGGTCTCGGTCTCGCACCGATTCTGCATTGCTGCTGTTCTCGAGTCCTGTGTTCTCGGATACCTAGTCATTCGGTCTCGGTTCTCGGTGGGTGTAGTCTTCTATCCGGTACTCGGTTCTCGGTCTGGGTCCCGGATAATCATTCGATTCTTAAAAGTATTCGTGAACCGAGTTCTCGATTCTTAAAAATACTCGATTCTGCCCATCACTAATATATTCATTGGATTCTTTTTGCAATATCAATTTTATTAGATATAGACTCCTCAACATAACTTCCTGCTACAGAGCTCTTCCACCCACCATGCCGTTCGATAGTTGTAAGATCAGCACCTTTATTGGCTAATACAGTTGTTGAATTGGCCAGTACATGCTTCTGGATTTGCAATATTCAGGAATAAAGCAACTATTGAGGGTACTTTCGCCAATGTGTCGATTCCAACAGGCTGAGAAGTATATTTTTGATTGATGCATCTTATGTCTTATGTTAGGCGAACTGGGCTCAGGGAAATATATTTTCCGCATATTTCAATAGTATTGACGCGAAATCCTTCTTCTATAATTGCAAATTTTCTTGAAATGCGCATCATGGTGATGTCATAGGTGTCATAGGTGAGACAATCGACGAACGGTTAAGCCGTTATGTGGCCGTTTTCTCACGACAAGGAAATACATTGTACGCGGAGCACAAATGGCTCCATCTGTCGTGCTGACTCCCAACCATAGTTGGCACAATTCAAATGGTTACAGTAGGAAGCGACCTGCTATATTGCAGGTACTTTGTTGCACGACTGCACCCACAGAGGGCGAAACACAATGTTTGTATTGCCAGTGTTGCGAGAAACAACTACTCCGCGAGCTATATGCCCCGACCGGCATTGAATTATACTCGCAACATCTAGTGCAACCTGTGACAAACTGAT